ACACAGTCAAATGCCTTTGCATAGCCAATGAAACACAGATAGACATTCTTCTGGTATTCCCTGCTTTCAGCTAAGATCCATCTATTATTAGCTACAGTATCTCTAGTACCACGACCCCTTCCTCCTCTTTGACTTTTTAGCTGTTAGTGTGTATATTTTGAATAATATTTGTAATAACATTTTCTTTTTATTCATATGGATAGTAATACTAACTCCCACATCACTGTGCTTCAGGGTAGAATTCGACTTTTCAACTGTGAAGGCAACACTAGTCTTTTGTTTTTCATTTCAGGGATCATATACCATGTGATAGTCTGATTCAAAGTGACTAAAGCCTTTCCATTTCATCTTACTAATGCCTAAAATATGCATCTGTTCATGTGTTTCATTTTATTTATCACAACTTCTACTTTTCCAATACTCATACTTACAATTTAATGGTAACAGGTAATGCTGAGTTAATTCTTAAATTTCTAATACTTCAAAAATACATGGATTATGACATTGGGCTATGATTTAATAATATGTTTTGTTGCTTGTTAATTGTTAAATACTGATTTACTAAAAGTTATTTTCATATACTCTACAGTTTATTTCATGAAATAGACAATTCTAAAAGCAAACTTTATAAAATTCATGTTTTGGAATATATTAAAATGTATATTAAAATTTTAGAAAAAAATGGAACAAAATTAAATATTCTAATATTTGTCTTTACTTAATACTCAAGTATTTTCCTGATTGTATAAAATTCAATATATCACTTTGTATAATTTATGAAGTGAGAAATTGTACATGATAAACTTTATTTCAATTGTATAAACTGATCAATGGTTTGATTTAAGCAATGTCTTTGTATCTTCCACACTTCTTGAAATATCTATGTTCTTTTTAAAAATTTTTTCTACTTTATTTATAAAACTCATATACAAATTCGAACAAATTCTTTCAATCTCCCTCACCCCCTCCCCCATTAAATTGTACAACCCACTAATTAATCCCCCTGTACATCCACATCCCTCTGCTTCCAGCCTCTCCCACTTGCCAAGCTCTGGTACATACATTGAAGGAAATAGTTAAACATTGGGAATATATCTCATGAGTGTATTTTAAAGTGTAATGAATCTGAGTTAAATTTCACATATAAATTCAGCATTCTATGTTGTCATTATGACTTCTTAAGAAACCACAAGCAGTGTATTTATGGTATAAATTCAGTAAAACCTAACTGAAAACTTACCTTTAAACTCCTTAGGTCTTTAAATGAATATTCTCAGATCAAGAATTGGAGCCAAACTATTATTGAATGATATCCTTGAGTGGCTATCACCTAGTATGAGAAATTGGTTGGTCAATAAACATTGAAAGATGATTGTTTCCCTTAGGCTTCTCCTGTTTACTTCTCTGAAAAGGTCCCTTGAAATATAACTTCCTCTGGAGGATAGTTATAAGACCTCATAAACAATTTAATCTGAATATTGATAATAATGTTAGCCTATATTAACCTGAATGAAATTATTGACTCTAGTCCCATTATAAAACTCCCTACTATTGAATCAACTGTGATGCTTAGCAACTCTCCGTCAGATTTCTGAGTTTGAATATTATAAAGGAAGAAGCTGACAATTTTTCTTTCCCCTAAGGAGTGGTTAGTGAAGTCACACTGCCAGTCTATAATCTAACAGCTAGATACCTTACGCACTACATCACCGGGGCTCATTTTTACCCTCATTAGTGATTTAAAGTTATAAAATATTTCATTGAAAAATTATATATAATGTCTTTAAAAGGTTAACATTAAACATAACAATCAGCATATTATTCTCCTAGAAAATTATAGCTTGATATTGAAAATACATTTCATATAGGCAAATAGAATACACAGGAAACATGAACCAAGATGGTGGAAAATTATCATATCGAGGTCCAAATAAGACTAGAGGCCAACTATTGAACAGATCATCAATTTTTCATATTCAAGTTCAAGTTGAAGAAAATGAAAACAAATATGCAAGATCCAAAATATCACATTCAAACATAAAACAAAAACCAAACCAGATGAAATAAAACAAACATTGCTAAATATAACTTAAAATCAGCCAGAACAGTACAAGAGGAATTTGAATTCAGAAGATGATATGGATGAATCTAGAAATATGTTTACCTGTGTTTTGAAGACTATACTAATGTGTTTGACTAGTTGAGGCACAAAATTTTGCATATTATTTCAAAGAATGAGTATTCCAGAGCTTATCTGTATTTATATGAAACTTGTGCATAAATCAAGAAGCAGTCATTCAAATAGAGTAAGTGGATATTGCGTACTTTCAACCTGTTGTGTTGTTTCAACCACTTGATGACACCTAACATTTTCCGTCTCTTTACTCTTCATTAATTCAATGCATGACAACATGAATTCTTCTCCTAGCAACTCATTGCTCTGGCCCCGATTCTATTTATTAAACAACTAAGAAATCACCTTGTTGATACATTTTGGGGACGAATATTTGCTCTTGATTCTTTCTAACTTCCCAATTCTTTCTAACTTCTAATATCATGTAACCATTGTGATCATTCCTTTCTTTGAAATATTCTATTTCCAAAGCTTCAGTTGTACTGTTTGTTTGTTTGTTTTTGTCTCTTATACTTTGAAACTACATTTCAGGATTGTGACCTACTTTTTCTTCCAATTAAAGCTGGCCTCCTATTCTCAGACTCTTTTTTTTTCTTTTCATGAAACTCTATCCTCTTCTGAAAAGTCTTTTACAGTTAAATTTTTATTTTAAAAGAGTGATAAGAACTTGCACTACAATTTTTAAAACAGATGGTTGAAATCCACTAGCTGCTTCACGAAAAAAAGGATGATCAATGTCGTCCTGTGCAATTAAATTTCTCTGAAACCCACAGAGGTTCAGCTTTGGGTTGGTTCCAACTCTATGGGTGGAACAACAATAGTCTCTTCTTCTAGGATATAGAAGACTACCCATAGGTAACCTGTAACTATAACTAATTCTGTATATCGCATATCTTCTTTAGGGGAATATAAAGCACTTCAGCACATGCAGGGTTGCATACAATAACTAAAACAAGTCAATTGGTATCCCATCAATTCCTGGGGTCTTTTTGTCCCCCCCAAAGTCTTCAATGTAGCTTTCACTTCCTCCTTCATTACCATTGGCCCCTATTCATATAGTATTTCCTGAATTTGTTCCTATCCAGTCAGTTCTTTCTAATACATTGATTCTGTATATTCCACCCATCTTCTTTTAATGCTTTCTGAGTCATTCAATATTTTGCATTAGTATCTTTCAATATTGTGACTCAAGGCTTAATTTTATTTTGCTGTTCTCTCAGCTTGAGAAATGAAGTTCTTCCCTTTGGGAACTGGATGCAGACTCTCTGGCTTCTTCATGCTGAACAGGGGTGTAGATGTAAAGGGGGGAAGGGAGGACGCTTTATCTCCTTACTGGTGGTCTTGGGTTAAAGCTGCTTGCCTTCCTGCTCTGTTAGAAGATATTGTCCTGTCATTTGCTCCCCTCTGGACTACAAAGTGTTTTCTCAGGTGGGTCCAGTGGGGATGGCTGGTTGAACCCAGAGGCTCCATCCTCCTTTGCTTCCTTAGCTGGCAGTTGTATTCCCCTTTTGTCACTGGCACTGGGTTCGGGGTCAGGTCTGGAGTAAAACTCAGTGTTAAGGTTACCTAGAGGAAAGGGAGCAAACCTAGAGAGAACAAACTTGTGAGTTACAAATAGAAGGGCTTTGGGGGTGTTGCTTTCAGGTTTACTGGGGGGGAGGGTGGCAGAAGGTGGCCTAGGTAACATTGTCTGGATACCCTAGGCATTCTTTCCCCCCCTCTTCCCCACCAGGGGTCAGATGGCACAATCTGGGGACTGAGGAGCTCACCCTGAGGGTCGCGACAGCTTGTCCCGATTGCCAAGGGCAGCTCGCCCCGGGCAGAGGGCTGCGATGGCTCTCCCCGAGCCGGGGGCTGAGGGTAGCCCATCCCGAGCAGGGCAACACCCCCAGGAGCTGGCTGGTATACTCCTCCCCCAATTGTCCCTACCCCAGTCTGGTCCCCTCGCCTGACTGAGGACTCTGTGGTCAGGGATAGTTTTTCCAATTCCAGCACTGCCACTTTTACCCCCCCCCCATAAGTGGTCATACTATATTTTGAAGTAGGTGTCACTGCCCTCCCCCTTTATATATGATAAAGGGAACCTGAGAATTGTGAACAGACTCCCCCCAGGTCTAACCATCTTTTGGCAGAAGCATTCAACAGAACAACATATGTGGTGCATTTAGGATGTCAGTCCTCTTGTGCATGCTGCCACTGTTAAGGTCATCAGACTCACAGTGACTTTCAGACTCACAGTGACTTTCAGCAATCCACTTTATAGGTAATCATCTTCTTTGACCTGTCCAAGGAAACCCAAACCTGCAGATGGCGGGCATGTATCCCATCCCCCACTTCCTACGCAGGCGGCCAGCGGGATGCGAGGCACCCCCAGGGCTGGCGGCCGCTGGGGGCATGCCCCCCCACCCCGTCGCATGGGCGCTCAGCGTGTGCACGGCCCCTCTTGTGCGGGTGGCTCGCAGGTGCCCGCTTCCCCCACAGCCACCATCCTGGCTCCAAGAATTCTCTCCAGAACAAGTCCACCTTGCGGCAGTGTGGTGGCTTCACTGTACCAGTCTTGAGGAGGGCCGGTGCCCAGCATCCATCCTTGGTGAGGCAATCCATTCATTCAGGCTGTGGAAGTCTCTTGGAGCTGCAGCAGCTGTGTGGTGTGGCGCGGGCTCTACGTGAGGGGGGGTTGGAAGCCACAAGACTCACCCATTTCTCCTTCAGAATCCTTAAATTCCTGTTGTTGAGCCTCGATCTTCATTGAGGGCCAGTCATCAACTGTTTAAGTGTTCAATTATCAATAAGCTGAAGTCTGTGGAAGGCCATAATGGCCCTGCTTTAAGTGGTTCGCTGCTCCCACAGCTCACCACGCAGTCTCTGCCTCCACCACCATCTTGGATTCTCATCTTGAATCTTTCTTACTCTCACCTAAGCCAGAAAATTCTGAGGATGGCTGTCTGGCTAACAAATTAGAAGAGGTCCATATTTGTTCCCATTCCCAAGAAAGGATTTCCAATAGAATGCAAAAGCTATCAAATAATATCATTACTATCACATGCAAACAAAACACTGCCGAAGAACATTTAAAAATGGCCAGAACAGTACATAGGTAAGGGACTACCTGAAGTTCAAGCAGGATTTCGAAGAGGCAGTGACACCAGGTGTATCATTGCTGATGGCAGATAGATCCTGGTTGAAAATAAATAATAGCAGAAGAATGTCTATTTATGTTTTATTGTCTATGGAAAGGCATTTGACTGTGTATATCATAACAAGTTATGGCTAACATTTAGAAGAGTAAGAACACCAGAGCACTTAATTGTGTTCATGTGAAATTATCTAGACCAAAAGACTGTTGTGAAAACAGAACAAAGGAACACAGCATGATTTAAAATGAAGAAGGGAGTGCACCAGTGCTATATTCTCCCTCCATATCTATTCAATCTGTATGCCAAGCAAATTATTCAAGAAGCTGGACTCTATGAGGAGAAATGTGACATCAGGATCAAAGGAAGACTCATCAATATCTTGTGTTATGAAGATGACACTGCTTATATAACATTTGCTTTCTGAAAGTGAGGACAACTAAAACCCCTGTTGCAGAATATCAAGGAATGCAGCCTCATTATGATTGCATACTGATGTCAAGAAAACAAAGGTTCTTACCACATAAGCAACATCATGATAAATGGAGAAAGGATTGAACCTGTTAACAAATTCATCTTACTTGGATCCACAATTAACACCCTTGGTACTAGTAGCCAGAAAATCAGGACACATATTGCACTGGGAAAGTCTGTAGTTAGAGACCACTCCAAATTATTGATGAGTAATGATATCAGTTTGAGGACTAACGTGTTTCTGATTCAGGCCACCATCTTTCTGATCACTTGTTATGCATCTTAGAACTGGCCTATAAATAACGATGACAGAAGAAGAATTGATGCCTTTGAGCTGTGATATTGGAGAAGAATGCTGAACATTGAATGGATTGCTGAAAGAACAAACAAATATCTCTTGGAGGGCGATAGTGCTCTTTGGAGGCAAAGACGATGAGACTTCACTTCTCATGCTTTGGACATGTTGCTAGGAGAGGTTATTCCTTGGAGAGAGACATGACGCTTGTAAAGATAGAGGGTCAGTGAAGAAGAGTAAGACCCACTAGACTGCCACAATGGGCTCTAATGTGTCAGGAAGTGCAAGGATGGCACAGGACAAGACAAGGTTCAGATTTGTTATTCATAGAGTCACTATGGGTCATATCTGACTCAATGGCACCTAATAACAACAGCATAACACTTCAAAATGTATATATTTGAAATTTCACTTATCACATTTTTATATCCTGTCCCATATGAAGGGACAAAAACAATTCCATATGACTTTTTAAAAATTAATTTATGTCAGCATTACCAACCAGTGTATACCATAAGCTATAATTTGTCTCACTTCCTTCACATGCATTATATAGCCAATTGTCATGTTTTACTTGATCTACTCATGTAATTATCTCTTCTTTTGTCTACATCTCATACTTTATGTACACTACAAGCTGCTGTTTCAAATGTTTGTTTTAAACTGGTTCTTCTGTCTATTGTCTTCACTCGTTTAATAAATGGCACACTCCTCTGTCTGTGTAATCTTGATAAAGTATCCTCCACTAAGCCTTAGGAATAACAAGAAGATACATCTATAATATTGTCATTTCTATCTAATAATCATTATTTACAGACAATATTTTTATTTTGTAGCTCCATAGTGTCAGGAGATAAAAGCCACTAGAGAGACAAAGAAAGAACAAAGCAAGCAAACAAAAAAGCCCCACATACGTACAAAAATTCTCTATTTATAATTTTTTAAACGAAGGTAGATTTTATGACCCTACTTTTAATATATGTTTTATTAAAACTGAGAAACTAGCAAGATTTATTGAAAAGCAGAGTTGTTTATACTCAGAAACTGAGATGATCCAACCACGTCTTCACATTGCTATGGGGCTGAGAGAACAGTTTTTATATATTATTAGACCCTTAGGGAATTTGGAATTGAGAGTATAGTTAAATCTTCCACAACTTAATTGTAGTAGTTGCTAGGTAACATTGCATCACCAAGGACGCATACAGAATTAAATCCTACCCTGTTTTCAAAATCTACTCTGTGCTTAAACCCATTGTTGCAAACATGGTGTCAATACCGATATTAAAAGACCCTAGAAATTATAATGAAAAAAATGCATTTTACTAATTGCTTGAAAATATAAAAAAATGAGCATAAATTCCAAATATCTCCAAGAGACAGGGGAAAAAAGTACAATTATTTCCTGACACTATGGAGCTACAAAATAAAAAAATATTGTCTGTAAGAATTTTCTCATTTTATAAAATTAAAAGCAAGAAGAAATTAGTTTGGTGAAAAGAAACTGCTTATTTACTTCGAATGACTGCTAATTTTTATTGTATTGTGTTTATTATGAACTGGGAAAATCTACTGTCAGGGACCCCTCAAGAGTGCTGAAAAGCAACAATGTCAGTCTAAAGACTAACATGCACCTGATCCAGGACATGGTCTTTGCAATTGCTGTGCACTGAGAGTTCGACAATGACGAAGGATGACAGAAGAAGAATTAAGGCCTTTGCATTGTGGTGCTGGAAAAGAGTCTTGAACACACCATGAACTGCCAAGAAAAGGAATAGGTCTGTCTTGGAGAGGGTGAAACAAAGATTCTCCTTGGAGGCTAGAATTTTGAACCTGACTCACATACTTTGAGCATGTAGCCAGGAGGGATCAGTCCTTGAAGAAATTCATCATGCTCGAAAAGATGGAGAGATAACACTGGAGAGAGGGACCTAGGATGACATCGATGGATGGATGGATGGATGGGTGGATGGATAATTAAATGGGGCAATGGGAGTAGGTTTGTCAGAGTCAGTGAGACTGGTTCAGGACAGGACAGGAGTCAGAGCAGTTGTACCTAGGGTCTCTATGATCTGCAGGTGACACAATGGCACATAGCAACAATATCCACTATTTGTTCCTTTTGAATCTGAGTTTATAAAATATTTCTGTTTTCTGACTTTACATTTTAAAAAACTTATTAGATAGCAATGTGGGATTTATTAATGGGTGTAATGGGGCAGGTGTATCAGAGGCAGTGACATTGGCTCAAAAGAGGGAGGGGTTCAAGGCTATTGTTCATAGGTCACTGTAAGTCCTAGTTGACTTAACAGCACATAAAAACAATGACAACATATTGTTTAGCCATTATTATGAGGTTGCTTATTCCTATATTGCTTATTGCACCTCAAGAAACCTACATGTCTTATCTAAGCAGATATTCTGAAACCTGCCCCACTTTTCACAGACTGATTTCTCCCTTTTTACCTCTACATCCAATAGTTCTGAAGAAACTAAATTTTGTAGAATTTAAAAGGACACTTCCCTTCTTCTTTGTTTAAACTCATTTAGTTTTAACTCATAGATTTTGTCTGATAGTGTAAAGAGTCTATTGTAAGTTAATAATGAATATTAAAATGGTTTCTATTGTGATTTCTGATATCTATTGTCTTACAAAAACAGTAGGTCAAATTGTGTTTTTTTTTTCCTATCAGTATTGTCCATGTCCTATAGCCTCCAAGCTCTGACGCTCTGATTTAGAAACATGTTTGTAATTCTATCATGGAGTCTTTCGTTTGACCTGGGACATAATTATATTACTGAATACTAGGTGAATCTTTCTTACCATCTGTTCTCACTTAGACGATATCTTTCAAAATATCCATCTATTAACTTCTTAATACTGATACTAATTTTTATACATTCATAGATGCTAATATCTTTTTATTTTCTCTAGGCAAAACGGGTAAAATATATTGCCATAAGTTTTCCCCTTAGAATACTAACTAGTTCTTTTTTGTCCATCTGTAGATTTTTGTGTTGTATCTGATGGATATAACTTGTATCAGAGTTATTGACCTAGTTTTGAGCTCCAAATCTACCTTAAACCCATTGTCATTAATAGAATTTGTGAATTTAAGGCTTATAGGAGGAAACTGCTCATCTTTTTTCCACAGAGAGGCTGGTGTATTCTAACAGTGGTTGTTATGTTGTTGTTATGTGCCGTCGAGTTGCTTACGACTCATAGCGACGCTATGTATAACAGCCCTAAACTCCGCTCTGTCCTGTGCCAATCGCAATGTCTCCGACACTCCCATCCCAATTATCCCAGTCACTGAATCAATCCACCTCATAGAGGGCCTTCCTATCCTGCGCTGTCCCTCTACCCTCCCAAGCATGATGTCCCTCTCTAAGGACCGGTCTCTCCTCACAACATGTCCAAAGTATGTTAGACGGAGCCTCAGAATCCTTGCCTCCAAGGAGCCACCCAGTTTAACCCTTTCCAGGACAAATCTGTTTGTTTTCCTAGCAGTC